AGCCTCCCCCACCTTGGGGCCCTGACACACTGAGGTCTCTTCCCCAGACTCTGCGATGGCTCCCTACTCCACCACATTCAGTTCTCTCCCTCACTATGAAATCTAAAAGAATCCTGTCCCTCTGCCCCACAAAAAAAAAGCTCTGTGAATTGGAACTTTCAAGTGCCCTACTTACTGCTCCATTTCCAGCACATCAAGAGTGATGACAAGGCTTTTTAAAAACGTTGAAATAAATAAATGTGGATGGATTGATTGATATTTGGATGGCGTGGGGGGGCTGCATGTTTAGTCACAACGTTGCCTCCTTTCAAGTTTATTTCAGGATGGCCCAGTGGAATGAGTGTCACCTCAAGAATTATTTGACAGGAGGAAGGAAGAATTTAATTAGCTAGAACAAAGGGGACAATTACAACCATGTTTCTGAAATCAACTTTTAAATCACCCGAGGATGACCGCCTCACAAAGAAAAAATTGGATACATGCACCAAAAAAAAAGGCAGAACTACATTTAAATCAGAAGGGATCGATACAGAAATTAATTCTAGAAGCTGAAGCTGCCATCAAGCAGCTGAGGGAATTGGTGTCACTGAGGTGAGGACTGCCATTCTGGGGACAGAGAGACTCTAGACCCCCCTGCTACAGCATCACAGTCAACTGCTGAGACATCTCACAAAGGAGCCCAGGCGCCTCACAGAGACACCAGGCACTGCTGAGTCAACAGCCTCCAAAGAACCTTAATGAGAATGTACCCTCCTTTCCTATGGCGTGAGGCCACTGGGTGTGATGCCCACCACACCCCTCACATGGCCACACAGAGCTCCAGAGAACACTGCCATGTGGCTGTCTCATCCCTACAGCCTACGACCCTGAATCCTTGTCACTGCTAGGATGTGGAAGGGTTGAGGAGGGGCAAGAGCCACCAAACACCAGCAAAATGCCATGCCTGCTGTCCAGCAAAGAATGAATCCTGTAACTCATTTCCACGGGTGTGGCACCAAATTATCACACTCCAAAGTCCCTTTGGATCAACCAAAGGGTAAGTGCTCCATTTTTTCAGACAGCAAAAATTCATAGGCATTAAACTCAGATCAAGAATACCAACTCAAATGTGTTGCCTCTGTGCCTCCGTGTCTGTTCCTGTGTGTGGTATGTTTGTACATGTTCGTGGGCACGCACATGTGTATGAACATGTGTGTAGAAGCCAAAAGTCACTGTCAGGTATCCTCTGTCATTACTCTTCATTTTATGCCTTGAGACAAGCTCTTCCACTGCCATGAGCTCTGGCTCAACTAGCTGGCCAGAAATCTCCAGAGATCCATCCGTGTGTGGCCTCTCAGTGCTGGAGACGCAGGAACAAGCCACTTGGTATAGCTTGAGGGGTTGGACTTGAAACTCAGATTATTTTGCTGGTGTGGCAAGTGCTTCCCCTGAATCATCTCCCCACCTGTCGAATGCATGTTTAGGAAAAGGGCACAGTAAGAGAACTACTCCATGGGTATCGATTGAGGGCTTTACTAAAAGCACAAACAACCATCGAATCTCCCGACAGGATTCACTCCTAGCAACCCAGTACAGTACCGAGAACAAGTCCCACCTGCCATCCGTTGTGTATGGCCACCTTGGCTAGAAAATGGACACATTTTTGTTGTTTGTTGATGCTACACAAATGACTGATTCAGAATAGAACCCAAAGTCTTCATGGACCCTTAGCATCCGATATGTTCTGCCTCTAGCGTTTGGGCTTCTGCATGTACCCTTCCCTCCTCCAGACATGTTGATTGTAGTTTCTTCAGCCCTCCAGCATTCCCCTGCCTCAGAGCCTTTATAACTAGTTAGCCCTCGTACCAGAAAACCTTGGATCTTGTGGCTGCTCTGAGCTTCCTATCTTAGTTCAGTTATTATCTTCCCAACCAAGCATCCTCATTAACAGTGCAGTCTCCACCCCTTGTCACGGTGACTCCTACTCTCCTCCTTTATTTTCCCCCCAAACACCTGGCATCTTCTAACATACTTAAAAAAACTTTCTGTCTTCCTCTATTATAATGTAAGCCTGTGAGGTCCAGTTCTTTTCCAGTCCACTTTGTTCACTTGAATGTCCCTAGCCCCTGTGCCTGATACCCAGCAACTGCTGAATGACCGCATGAGGGACACTGACTGTAAGAAGCTGCTCTGAGGTATGTGGTGTATAATATGGAGCCTTAAGTAATCCCGAGACCACATTACTGGAGGGCGGAATAACATTCAATCTACTTTCAATCTACTCTGCAAACAGGGAGTTTTACCACCCTGGGGTCTGTACCACCCTGCACTAGGCAGCAGGGTGTGCGAGCATCATGTGCAGCCACTGGCTGGGAAAGCGGAAGTGGGGCAAAGGGGCTTTGTTGGAAAGGATACCTCTCTCCACTTAGAGAATCAAGCATACCTCTGTCCTCAGAGGCCAGCTGGGGAGGCGGGATGGGAAGGGCCATACAGTGACACTGTCAGAAAGTGCAGTCTACACTTTCCAGCTAGGATGGGACCACAGTAAACATGGCTCCAGCTCCCAGCATTTGGAGCTATGGGAGGATGAAAAGAGTAAGTTTCCTATGCCAGCGTTCTCTTTCACCAGGTTCAGTGTACCTGAATTTATGCTGAGGTCTTTGATCTACTTGGACTTGAGTCTTGTGCATGGTGATAGATATGAATCTATTTGCAATTTTCTACATGTTGACACCCAGTTATGCCAGTACCATTTGTTCTTTTTTCCATTGTATAGTTTTGACTTCTTTATTAAAAATCAGGTATTCATAGGTTTGTGGGTTAATAGCAGGGTCTTCGATTCTATTTCTTTGGTCCATGTGTCTGTTTTTATGTCAATACCAAGTTGTTTCTGTGACTATGGCTCTATAGTAGAGCTTAAAGTCAGGGATGGTGATGCCTCCATAAGTTCCTTTATTGTACAGGATTATTTTAGCTGTCCTTGGTTTTTTGTTTTACCATATGAAGTTTCTTTCGAGGTCTGTAAAGAACTAAGGAAGAGGGGGGGGGGATTATATAAGCGAGGGGGGTCAAGATCATGACAGAAAACCCACAGAGACAGTTGACCCAAACTTGTGGGAGCTCATGGACTCTAGACAAACAGCTGGGACTGAACCAGGCCCTCTGCATGTGGGTGACAGTTTTGTAGCCTGGTCTGTTTGTGGGACCAGAATCTATCCCTAGTGCATGAGCTGGCTTTTTGAAGCCCATTCCATATGGTGGGATGCCTTACTCAGCCTTGGGGAGGGGGAGCCTTGGTCCTGCCTCAGCTGAATGTACAAAGCATTGTTGACTCCCCATGGAAGATCTTACCTTTTCTGAGGAGTGGATGGGGGTGGTTTGAGGGGAGGTGGGGAGAGTGGGGAAGGGGGAATTGTAGTTGGTATGTAAAATGAATTTAAAAAAACATAATTTCTTTCTTTAAAGACTCAAAGTTTTGCTATACAGGTTAACATTATCCCCAGATATTTAATGTTGTTTGGGGCTATTGTAAAGGGTGATGTTTCTCTGATTTCTTTCTCAGCCCATTTATCATCTATATATAATAGAGCTACTACTGATTTTTTTAGTTAATCTTGTATCCTGCCACTTTGCTGAAGGTGTTTATCAACTATAGAAGTTCCCGTGTAATAGCCAGAACCTGGAAGCAACCTAGATGCCCCTCAACTGAAGAATGGATATAGAAAATATACTCAGCAGAAAAAAAAACAATGGAATCTTGAAATTTGCAGACAAATGGATGGCCTTAGAAGAAACCATCCTGAGTGAGGTAACCTAGTCACAAAAAGAGAAACATGGTATGTACTCACTCAGATATGGATTTTAGACATAGATCAGGGGAGTGTCAGCCTACAATCCCACCATCAGAGAGTCTGGGAATCAGAACCTTCATCCAGTGACTGGTGGAAGCAGAGGCAGACAGCTGCAGCTAAACACTGACTCCTGGAACCCAGTGACAAAGAGGGAAGAATGATCAACAAAGGGGTCAAGACTGGACTGGTGAAACTCACAGAAACATCTGACCTGAACAAGGGGGAGCTCTTGGACCCTGGACTGATGGCTGGGAGGCCAGCATGGGACTGACCCAGAACCCCTGAATGTGGGTGTCAGTGAGGAGGCCTATACAATCTGTGGGGCTTTGGGCAGTGGATCGGTGTTTGTCCAGGTATATAGATGGACTTTGGGTGCCCCTCCCACAGTGAGGGATGCTCTCTCAGCCTGACCTTTTAGGGAAGGGCCTGGGCTCTGCCCTGAACAAAATGGCAGACTCTGTAGATCTCCCACAGAAGGTCTCACCCTCCCTGGGAAATGGAGTGGGGATTGGGTGGGGGTCTGGGGGATGCTGGGGGGTCAGGGGAGGAGGGGAGAAAGAGGGAGGTGGGATTAACCCGTGAAGCAAGCTTGAAATAAAAATAAATAAATAAAACAGGAAAAAATAAAACATAAAAAAGGGTAAGTGTCAGAGAAAGCCTGGATTCTACTCTCAGGTATGGTGAGCTTGGACAAAGGAAGGGAAGTGCGCTAGAGCTCAGCATCCCCAGAAGGACCTGAAGAGGGAGAGCTTGCTTCTGTTACTTCCTGGTGCATGTCTGTGCTGCCCATCGCAAGGGCTTTGAATGCAGCTGTCACTAGAGCTCAGAACCCTGAGCTGAGGGACCTGAAGAGGGAGAGCTTGCTTCTGTTACTTCCTGGTGCATGTCTGTGCTGCCCATCGCAAGGGCTTTGAATGCAGCTGTCATCCCCACACTAAGAGGCAGCTGAATAGGCTGAGGTCCAAGTGTCACAGAAACTTTGTCTTGAAAAGAAATTCTTCCTTCTTCCTTTTTCCTTCAGGAAAGGTCTCAACTACACTCTCACACCAAGTCCCCAAGTGCTTCCCAATAGAGGTACTGGAGAACAATACCATACTTTGGTACCAGGCACATTCAGTTGATCAATTGCTGAACCAAGAAGTACACATCTTACGAAGACACACAGCCCTGTGCCTTGGTATTTCTTTATTTCTGTATTAGGAACTCTCAATCCACTCAGAAATGATTCCAAGATCAACCTGGGCAGTTGGCATCTCTCCTCAATTCTTCATTGACTTCCTGATTCTTGCCTGTGAAGTGAAGGACGTTTATAAGTAGGCTAAGAGGACTCTGTATTAGGAGTCAAGACATCACAGAAAGGCTCACACAATCAACTAACCTTGACTTTTAGGGGCTTGCAGAGACTGAACCCACAACCAGTGAGCCTGCAGGGGACTGACCTGGACACTTTGCATATATGGGACGGTTGTGAAGCTTAGTCCTCTTATGGACTCCTAACAGTGGAAACAGGGGCTGTCTCCAACTCTTTTACTGTTTTGTTTGGGACCCTACTTCTCTTACTGGATTGCCTTGTCCAGCCTTAATACATGGGGAGGTACTAAGTCTTACTGAAACTTTATATGTTATGTTTTATTGATATTCATAGGAGACCTGCCCTTTCCTGAATGGAGACGAAAAAGAGGAGGGGGTTGAGGGAGGGAGAAGAAGGACCGGGAGGGGAGGATGTGGGGGGAGGATGCTGCTAATATGTAAAATAAATAGTTGAATAAAAAGTTAGCTCTGACATGTCTGTTTGCCCACTTCTTGATATTTCTAGAACATGAGGTCTTTGGAAACCATCTAAAAATCTCTCAGGCTCTCGCTTTAGTCTGGTCAACTCATACACAGTTTTCCTGGTGTGTCCTTCAGTCCTGCAGAGATATAGAGAACTGAGTGAAGCTTGAAGCGTTTTCAAAGCCTGGTGCAGCCTCTGTTGCTTATTTCAATCATAACCACATTCTCAGGGACAGTGCCCAACGGCACAGTGTCAGACATTCCAGCCTCCAGCAGGGTTCTTTCTCCTGCCAGTCATTCAGCATACCATTATTTTACTCAGAAACTTAAGGCACTGCTCCAGTGCTATCAGAAGCACCCAGATGTGCTAAAACACAAAAAACAAACAAACAAAACTCCTTCTACAAAACCACAATCCTATCAACCCAGGAAGCTTGTCAACTGTTGCCTTCCAAACTACTCAGAAAGAGATGCCCACAAGCAAACTGTGAATTAAGGTGCCTGTGAAGAATTTATATAAATGGTTACACAATTTTTTCATGGCTATATAGCATTTTGATATAGGTATAGGAAAATTTGTTTATGTGTCATATTCTTGGCAGACACAGGGGTGGTTTCCTCCTTTGAGTTATGACAGGCAGTGCTGCCATGAGTGTGTTTTTGTATGTCTGTTGGTGCTTGTGTTTGTATCAGACAGTAGAGTTGGATACCTGTATATTCATTTGACCTTGGTAATAATCCCTAAAGTCACCTAAAGTGTTCCTAACAGTATCCCTCCCACCATGCTGTGCCCTCCTTTGTACTTGGCATTGCTGGTCACTACAATGATAGGGCATCTCAAGGCTGGCTCCATATCAGTGGGGAGGTGGGTTGAGGAGTCATCAGAGAGAGGCTCACTGATTAAACATGGTTTGACACAGAAAGTTATTTAGGAATCTGGGGGGCAGCACGAGGCAAGGTCCTGAAGTGACTGGAAACGCAGACCTGATGGTCAGTAGAAATACATGAGTCAGCTCTTCTGCAAAAGCACGACCATGAGGTGACTGAAGGAAGGGTCAGCGGGCTGGAAGGGGTCAGGGAGAGAGGTCTAGGGAGAAACAGGATTGAGGGTGGACATGAACCTGCCCTGGAGTCCACAGCACTTGCTCACTTGCTCCTACAAGCATCATGAAACAGACACTGTGTTCCTTTCTCCACAGGGAGCTAGCTCAGGTCAGAAAGTGCTGCCACTGTCATCTGAACCCAAGACTGGGTGGTTTCCAAACCCATCCTTTTTCTGTATGCTGCACAGCCTCCTTCTCTCATCATGTTGATATGTGATTTTGGAAGGTGACTGTGATTAACTGCCTTAGGGCACCAAAAAGCAAGTCACATAATTGCTGGGCAATGAACCCAAGATTTGGCACTGGTTACCTATATTAGAGCCATCTGAGTAGCTTGAGGGGTCAAACACTACCTTATCACAGAGCCAGAAGAAGATGCTTAGGACACAATGGAAGAAGGGGAACTGGTCTACCCTAAGTTCTGGACAACTGGTCATCCTTTTAAGAACTCTTATTGGAGCACACTCAGTTCAGCAGGAACACCCTCACCCAGAGGGCCCTACCACAATTTGTTGAAAGGTTCCACATGGAATGTGAGGTGCCTGATCCCAGTACTGGAAAGTGAAGCTCTTTGGAATATGGAAGCCAGAGAGGCAGTGTAAAAGCTATCCACAACCAAGCAATCCTCAGACAGATGTGAACAGATGTGACTTCTGGGAGAAAATAGTCACTCTGAGCCACATGATATCCAAGTTTCAGGAATGTGTTGAGAGAGACATACAAAGCCAAAGAACACATACACATGGAATTAATTCTCATACAAAAAGGAGGGAGTTGAGTACCCCAAAGTAGGGTCCCACTGCAAAGAGGACCAAGTATGGAAGTGCCTCAGCGGCCTGACAATGGTGAAAGAGGAGCCCTCATCCTGTGAAGACCAGATCCGCAGAATCTTTACAGCCTAGACTTAAACTGCCCACACCTATGAAACACCAAGATCTGCCTTTACAGGGTCCTCAGCCACTAGCAAAGGAACACAGCACGTTTTGTGCCTGTCCCTTTCAATCATTTATGGAAACATCTCCTCTATCATCTATGCAGCCAGAATGCAACCCGAGGCAGAAGCTGGCTGCTCTCAGCAACTGGCCCTGTCACCAGCAGCACCTACCTGAACCTCTGTTCTGAGTCTCCTACCTCCAGATTCCCATTCCTGAAGATGCTGTGGATTTGACAAGGGCCCTTCCCACCTTCCTCACAAGTAACCCAAGGGTCCTCCCCGACTCTTCTCCTAAACAAGTAATCCAAGGGTCCTCCCCGACTCTTCCCCAAACGAGAGCAGCAGGCACACTCCATGGAGACTCCCCAAGCACAGAAGCCACAAGAGGCCCCAGGAAGAGGGGGTCAACCAAACACAGCAAGCACCTCTGTCCTCTGTCCCTCTGACATGATGGCCTTTGTCCTTGAAGCTATGGAAAGGAAACGGAATACCCTAACTGTGTAGAAACTCAAGTCAGACTAACACTTTGAAGAAAACCTCTCACTCTTGCATTGAACCCCATTTAAATCATCATCATTATTTTTTATTATTACTGCTTCAATTGTTATCATCATCATCATCAACATTATCATGTAAGTGCTTGGGGTGTGTGTGTGTGTGTGTGTGTGTGTGTGTGTGTGTGTGTGAATGCAATTGTCACAGTTCATGTGTGGAGGTAAAAGGTCAGCTCTGTGAACTCAAGTTTGACTCAGTCCTACCTTTATTCTAGGGATCCAGCTTACATTGCAAGTCCTGCATGGCAAGTGTCTTTACCTGCTGAGCCATCTCAATGGCATCTGGTGCATTTACTTCTTAAACAGAGATAACAAATAACACTAATGTGCAGTCATGAGGAGCTAGAAATCAATTACACAGAAGGTACTCAATGTTTATTTACAAATAACGTAGAGACTGTGTTCCATTTACTTGGACTTTGGGGCTATTCTTCACTCAGAGCATTTCCCACCAGTGAACCAGGAGCCATGGGGAAGTTATGAGAAGCCTATGGTGTCATGAGACTAAGAGTTAGTGCAGAAGCCAGGGTCACCTTGAAAAGGCGTTTAAACTATGAAGTGACAAGTATGCTGTATGCCTGGCTGGTGCAAGGATTTTGATGTGATCTCTTCTCCGCAGGCATGCAAAATTTCCTCCGCTCTCTTTTCGGTGTCTCTAACCGGAGATGGAAACAGCTGTTCTCATTTGTACACCCATCTGCTCCCAGGAGCTTGATCAGAATGGTAGCTCTCTAGACAAACTGCAAAGTCTCCACATTGTCTAACCTCATTTACCTGGAGATGGGCCTTCTGTGTACAGCAGGCCTCATACAAGCAGCTTCACTAAGCAGACCACTAAAAAGGAAAGGAAAAAACGTCAAGCCACTAAAGGAGCAAACCTGTTTTTAAATCAGAGATGCACAGTTATATGCCCAGTTTCCAGCCATCTTGCCAATTGACAGGAAAGAAATCGGATATTGGTTCATGTGGGGTGGGGGATACTCGGAGGAAGCACTTTAAATCTTTTAAACGCAGAAGAAACAAAGAAAAATTAGTGAAAGTATACTAAAATTGGGGTCAAAATCCAGAAAAGTCCTACCAACTGGAAATAATCATGTGCTATGGAGACAGAAAACATGAGGGCCACCAACAGAGAGGAGTCTGCAGATTAAGTGTCAAGTCAGGGAGCGAAAGAACAAGGCAGTAAGACATTGTCTATTGCGTGGGAATCATGATTCCCTAGACTCAAGTGAAGTTTATTCGGGGAAACGCACTTACACAAGAGGCAGATGACCGCCACAAGTTCCAGCTCCAAGGATCCTCCCAGGATGTTCCCTGTGACCCGACCAGCAGCAAGCAGACCAGCAGGAAGCGAGCTCTCGAGTCCCTACCCCAGATCTAGTCCTCACATGTGACCACGCCCAAAGAGGCGTGGTCAGTGCTGCAGGTATGGGCAGTGTGGATATCTCACTACAGTTGTCAACTTGACTTTGTGGACCTGTGAGCAGAAGATGGCCCTCCACAGAGGCAAAAGAGAAAATGTCCCACCTGCACTTCAGGAGCTATCTTCTGAGGCACAGAGACATGGCCTCCATCATGACCAGCTAATGCTCACATCAGAGGAGATGGCGCCTGACAAAAAATATCTGCAGAAATATTAAGCAGATGAGAGGAGTTTCAAAGACAGTCTACAAGTCTGATCATCCTAATCATCTGTTTTAAAAGGCAAATAGTTAGCACTTGCAATTAAGACATAAAATTAGAAGGTTAGAAAGTCCCACTGGGAAAATCATCAGTAAAGTACGGCCATATGGAATCAAAGGGCTCCCGGTGAACTCATTCCCAAGCCCAGAGCCTCTTCTGAATTGCTTTGAGAATGTTGATGACACCCATCTGACTCCATAATGCTTGCCAACTGAGCCTGCAAAACTCCTTAGTGGACAAAGATTACAGTACTATGACTTGCTTTGGCTCTAAAAACAATATAAACCTCCATAAAATCAATCTTACTGATGGAAATTTTCACTATTTGGCATTTCTATGATAAAAGATTGAAGGTCAGGTCCATCTTGGTTGTAAAATGTGTTTTTTAAATCAATTCAAAACAAAGATGCTTTAATTCGGGGGCGGGTGTGAAGGGCTGTGGGGAGAAAGAGATCCTCAAGTTTCAAAACGATAAGAGTTCAGAACCATAGCAGGCAGCTGAAGAGGCCACTGCACTGGCCACTGAGGCAACAGACTCAGAAATAAGGGCTGGGATCTGAAAGCAAGAAGTCACACAGAAATGGGAAATCGAACCCTGAGTACAGAGAAGACAGAAAGTGATAATGTTAAACCTCCCAGGGCCTCCCTGGTAGCTTAGAAAAGAGGACAGAATGAACTAGAGAAATCTACAAACCAGCCTACATTAAAGTCAGAAAATCTAGCATTCCAACATCTTCAGATGAATGAGTTTCTCAAGGGTGATCAAAGTCTCCCTTATCAGTGTCCATCAACATTCCCTTGATGTTCTAAGTCAAGAAATTAATATAAAAACCCACTAGGAATGATGGAGTGATGCTTTCACAGTGTGGGAAACAGGAAATCACAAACATTTATGTGACACTCTAGCACTTAGAACGAGCTCACAATATAAAACTGGAAACCACACAAGGGAAAGCATTATGATGCAACCCGATACCAGCATGTGGAATTGTGGACAAAGGGTCAACAAAATCCCTTCCTCTACTATGCAAACACACATCCATGCATTTTAAGATAAATACTTGTTTAAAGTCTATCTGCAAAGTTCATGACTGCTTGCTTGGTTTCTTTGATTAACTGACTTGATTAACTGTCCTGGCTCCTTTAATGAGAAGACTTCTACCAAAGAATATTAATAGCTAAAGTTTCCTAATGCTTTTCATTATGCCTGGCACTGTTTTCAATGCCTTCCCTATGTGTACCCATTGAATCTTCACTGTAGCCCAGTGAGGCAGATACCATTGTCTTCATATTATATCTGAGGCTTTTAGACTGAGTAGAGTAAGTTACCATGGCACTCAGCTGGCAATGTGATGAGAATTCTAATCAAGGCAAAACAATACAATTCCACCCAAAATCCCACCTGCTATCTACTATTCTTATTTATCAAGTTGTTCCAAAATTCACACAAGAGATGAAAGTATTGCCAAGGTAATTTGACAAATGGAGACATCTTATCCCTACAGCATATGGAAAATGTTGAGATAGCTATAACATGTGACAATAGCAATGGGGAAGTCAACTGAACAAATATAGAAGAGAAAGCACAGATATTAACACAATAATATATCAAAATTAGCAAGGAGCAGGGGCTGGAGAATTGACTCTGAGGTTAAGAACACTTGCTGCATTTCCAGAGGACTCAGGTTCACCTCAGGTTCACCTCCCAGCATCTACATATCAGCTCACAATCATCTGTAACTCCAGTCCCAGGGGACCAACACCCTCTTTCAGCTTCCAAGGGCACCAGGCAAATATATGATATGCAGACATACATGCAACAAAATACTCATATGAATAAAATTAAATGAAAATAACATGGAACTGAGAAATTGTATGTGACTCACAAAACTTTCCATCTCTGTAGCTGACATAAAACTCTCATTCTTCCATACGTGTATACACACGCTGGTGTGTACACAGAGAGAAAGAGTTGAATTCTGTATCCAAATGTTAATATACAATCTCAAAACATTTAAATCGGGGGCTGGCAAACAGCAGTTCCTCAATGAGGCAAGAGTAAAGTCTTGGAAGTCTTTGCCCCATCTCCTTTCCCAGATTTATATCACTCATTCAAATGGTTGGCTAAAAATATTCAGAACATGAATTTTATCTTGGAAGAAATTTCATGAAGGAAGTCAACCCACCCTGTAAAAACAATAATAGGCCTTGAATAACCATGTGATTTTTACATGAGATTTTTTAAAATATCATGTATGCCTCTAGTTCAGTATAAAGTGAAATATTTAAAGTGCTGTGCTACCACACGTTTTGATGATGAAAAGTTCTTAGACTTGGGAACAAGCACATCCAATAAGCTCACACCTAAGTTCTGAAAATAAACATGAAAGACAAGTATCCTTTATTGGTGGGGACTGTGGATGACAGAGAAAAGGCAGTGTTTGTGGTCAGTGTGTCAGACAGCAGAAATCAAAAGCAATAGTCGAAAATAGGCACTGAAGAAGAAGAGAACAGCTTCCTGGATACAAATGGTCCTCTTAGAATTCAGGAAGAAACACATCTCATGTTCTAAGTGGGATTGACATTCAGACACACACACCTGCCATTTACATCACCCAGGAGGGAATCTAAAGAACTGGCCCAGAATTATGGAGGTCACTCTGCACAGATCTACCTTTGTGTTGGACTGACCACAGACATTAGCAGAGCCTCTTCTTGACCACCAACTTCCTGGAAGACACGCCCCAGAACTGGTGATTGCTTGAGTCTTTTCTCAGAACTGCGTTCCCTTGGGCAAAAACAAGTCCAGTTTCATAACCTGTCAAGGGACCAGGGTGACACATACATGCATCTATCCACAGTTCCCACACTGCAAGTCAAAGTATGGCGTGCCACTGTGTCACACCAAATGCACTAGGGTCCCATAGATGACACATATTTCGACATTTTCAGGAGAAACACAAGTTATGTAGCCACATTCAGAGACTGGACCAGCTGCAGTGCCAACATTAGGTGTCATTTACAGTCTTGGATGGTAGCATATCTCCCCAATGCTGTTTTGTTGTTTTTTTTTCATCAATTACTGTGATTGAAAAGCAAATATTCCATGAATGTTGAAATCAGATGTTCAACTAAGCTGTTCATTATCCAACACACACAGACCTCCCATGGATATGGATCTTGGGCCACTTCAAGAAATGAAAGTATATGTTTTCTTTCAAACGGTTGCAAAGTGGCTTAGATGTGAGTCATTGGGATAAAACTGTTTAATAATTTAAATTATCATTAATGATTTGTCCTGAAGTGTTAGGGGAAGAAACCTGCTGTATAATACTAAGACCACTGTGAACTTGGAAGTTTGGGAACCTCTTGTGCATATAAAAAAAAAAGATTGATATGACACAAGATACTTTTAAACCCTCATAAGATGTGTTACTTTCTAAGTAATTCCCACCAAAACATCCATTCTGTTGCTTAAAATTATAGAAATTTAACGATTTAGAAGCCCAACTGCCCAGCAGCCCTTCTGAAAGAGATGAAGACTGAAGTTTCAAAGGACCAGAAGGCCAACCACACCGAGAACAAATAGTACTAACACCAAGCAGGTCATGCAAAGTACAGCCTCTTGAAGCAGTGGCTTGCAACCTTCTTCATGCTGTGACCCTTTAATACAGTTCCACATGTTATGGTGACCCCCAACCATAAAATTATTTTCATTATTAATTCATAACTATAATTTGCTACTGTTATGAATCATATGTACATATCTGATATGCAACCCCTGTGGGTTTCACAACCCAAGCCAGATTACACCCTCCTCTCATGAGGAACGTGAAGTCCTGAGAGGTTTTGTGAGCACCTAGACTCCTGATCAAGTAAAATCCTGCTTCCCAAACCTGTCTCTATGAACCTTTCGCTGGGACATACACCGGGGAAGCAATAAAGAACACAGGTTACAGGGTCTATGTGAATGTTCACCCTGCTAGGTCCCTTGAAACCCACTTCTTCAGTAGACAGGCAAGGATTTGTGATGGCTAATTATGATTTTCATCTTTGTCTGCTTGAGAATCACCCAGGGGATTGTTAAAAGCACTACTAGGAGACTGGAGAGATGATTTGGCAGCTAGGAGCATCTGGATGCTCTTGCAGAGGACCAATATTTGGTTCTAGCCCCCATGTCAGGTGGCTCTCAAGTGACTGTAACTCCAAGTTTCAGGAGATTTGATACCTTTTTCCATCCTCTGGGGGAACCTGCACCTGTGTAGTCCATATAGGTATTGTGTATTGTGTGTATTTGCACACACACAAATACATATTTTTAAGTAAAAAGGAAAAGGCTGGGTGGTGGTGGCGCACGCCTTTAATCCCAGCACTCGGGAGGCAGAGGCAGGCAGATCTTTGTGAGTTTGAGACCAGCCTGGTCTACAAGAGCTAGTTCCAGCATAGCCTTCAAAGCCACAGAAAAACCCTGTCTCGAAAAAACCAAATAAATAAACAGATAGATAAATAAGAAAAGAACACTACTAGATATGTCTGTGAAGGTATTTCCAAAGCAGGTTAAATAAGGAAATACCACATGCCCCGAAGGTAGGCCACCCATTCCACAGACCAGGGGTTCAGATGGAGTGAGAAAG